TTTCAGGTGTGGAAGCTGTTAGTTTTTTTTAAAAATCCTGGAATTCCTGTTCAAGAGGGAAAACTCTAGTGATAGAAAAAATGGTTGCATCTGAGTTATGTTTTTTCCCCTTTAGTCTCTTATGGTTCCCCATCAAGTTCTCACAGAATCCTGGAAGACAGTTTGAAACTGGAGCACAGTTTGAAAAACCCTGCTATAGATTACTTTGGTTGTGAAATTCACAATCAGGGTCCCTTACCCCTGCCATCCCACGTTTTAGAAATATGTCAGTGCTGCTGGTTAGGGACAAATGTCCAAAGACAATCCTGCGTATTCTTGGTTTTAAATAGTCTCAGCATATTGCATATTATCATTTTAAACTCACAGGAAAGATTTGGTACTGTCCTGCTGTCCTCCTTAAATTGCATAGGTGCAAATCACAGTCACAAAAAGAAGACAAAACGTGCGTTGTGATGTCACAATGCTAAGCCCATCCTTTTGTACTTGTGTCCCAACATTGGTTGCAAGCATCTAAGTCATGGGGTTTTCATTGTGTCATCACAATGCACATTTCTTATTTCCTCTCCACCCATCCTGTGGATGCGTAAATGCTAATTTATTGGTAGCACTGAAGACCTAAGGCTTTCACTAAAGATTCCTGGCTTATATTCCTTTTTCTCCATTATCACCCTTCTTATCACAGACACACTTGAGCAAGCATCAGTGTGAATATTTCAAAAGAGCCTAATTCCAGGCACATTTGCCAAATACCAAGTTCCTTGGTACAGCTACCAAGGAAACATGCGAGGCACTTGGAGAAGTCTTGCAAATTTAATATTTAAACCTTTCCTTAAAATTCTGCATGATGGTTCAAGTTTTGGCAAAGGGTGGTATCTATTCAAGTTCTGTCCAGGGTGGTATCTATTTGAAGCCAGCAATCAGGGAGTCCTTGTCAGAAAGAGCCAGGCTTGCTAGTCTGCCGTGCCAGCTTTAATAACCAGTGACCAGCAGCAGCAAGCCCACATCCCTCAAGGTCAAGTCAATGTTCATCTTTCAGTGTCATGCCAGACGTGGATTTCAGAAAAGCAAGTGGGAAAATAAGAACTTGATGTTTGCATGTTTTCATTTTAAGGTTGGAATAGGAGATTTTCTGCACTGGTTCAGTATCACTCAGAGTCTGTGTGGTGGGGTGGGGGCAAATGAAAGCTGCAATTCTGTTCTTCCTTCATCACTAATCACTCTCTGCCTTTGATTCACTGTTGTAGCCTATGGACAAATCTTTTTTCAAATCAAATGTCAAAGCAGCTCAGAGCAAATCAGCTGACCCCCAAATCATAGAATCAAATCAAATCATACCCCCTTTGGATTTTCAATCACCAACTCAAAGACTTGAATCTAATGCTTCTTTTCACATAGACCTAGTCATGCCCTCCTTTCTCAAGAGGCAAAATTCCCACTCATCAGTATATACACTGGTGTATGTATAGATGTTTGTGTGTATGTACCCACACACCAGTCCTCTCTGATTTCAAAGCACCAGTAATGGAGACTTAATGACAATCTCTGCAACAATTTTAGCAAACGCCTGTCTTCTTTTTGGGTCTCTGTTGAGATGTTTTCTGACCAATGTTTTCTGATGTGGAAGGTAATACATTGTATCAGATTGTGCCTGTATTTTTATTTATTTATTTTATTTATTTCATTAAATTTATTATAGCCACCCATTCCAACAGACTCTGACCTGGTAATTCTTTCTCCCACCCCTCCCAAAGAGCAACAATTTCCCATTTTCCTTTTCATAGCTCACCTTTCCATTTTCCTGTAAGAGACTTACCTGAGCACACCTCATAGCAATGAAGACATTCCTTAAATGTGCTTAGGGATTTTTCCCCCCAAGGTCTCTTCACAAAGTTAGTGAATATTCAGGCAAGACTAATGGTAAAAGCTGTCACTGCCAAGCAGAAAATGTTTTATTTGTGTTACTTATTTATCTGATTTATAACCCATGTTTCTGTATTACAGGCAGCTTAAAAAAAACAGGAACAAAAATAGATGATCAAGAAGCTTAAAAATACAAATTGGAAATTAAGATCAAGGCTAATAACATTTTACAGCTAAAAACCCTAACTATTTACTATTACCCCTTCACATTTTAAGGGTTGATCTCCTTATTTCTATGAGGAGTAAACCATGTGCTTATAACAAGCTAAAGAACCGCTTGGAAAGTAAGGATCCTTATTAATACCCGTTTGCGTCATCACCAGAAAAAAGATGATGTTTGTCAGTTTCTAGGTGAATAGTAAAAGTAAGAGAGCTTTTATTCTTCAGGCTAAGATATTCAGAGCAAACTGTACAATGCTACAAAAGACAGTATGGACTCGGATAACATACCAATATCAACAAGATTTGCATTTTCTCCCTAAAGCATAGAAATGTATTATGAAAGATTTGCACCCATTATTTCTTAAAAACAAATCCTGTTCCTGTGGCTTGGAATGAGCATTCCCAATGTATTGGATCACTGTAGAATAAATGTCCCAAATTATAACAATTGACCCATTTATTATGATCTGTTGTATGCAGTTGAATCTATGAATTTGTTCAGATGATCATATTACAATCCCAACATTTAAGTAAGGAACAACCTCAGCATCTTGACTTACTGTCTTTAGCAGGGAGCCTGTCTTCCCATTCCGCATGTTGTACATAAAATTATTTAGTAAAATGCACTGTACTTTGATTGTTGTACTTGTACATTGTTATATAGAGTACAGCATCAAAAATACAGTGCATTTAACCAACTAACTTTATACTACCTTTTTGTTGTGCATGATAATATTTTCTTGAGGATTTTTTAATTGATTATGTGCCATCAAGTCATTTTCGACTCCTAGTGACCACATAGATAGATTTGTCCATGACAATCTATACCTAACCTGGTCCTTCAGGTCTTCCAACAGTGCCACTGTGACTGAGCCCATCCATCTTTCTGCTGGTCATCCTCTTCTTCTCTTTCCTTCTACGTTTCCCAGCTAATATTTTCTACATATCCACAAATCGTTTGAAATTAAAGAATTTCATTCCTTTCCAAAGCACATCTTATAGATTTAAATTTAACAACTCAAATTGTGTTCTTATTTGTCTGTCAGTAAGGTTAGGGCTATGCAGTATCCAGGAAGCCAAGCAGAAACTCTTTCAAATGCATTAGATTCCTAGTTTGAAGGAAAAATACCAGTCCCCACATCTAGAGGACTCCAGATTGGAAAAAAGTTTTGCCAACCCTTCAGAAGGGACCAAAGATGAAGCAATATCAAATAGGAATTTGTTAATGTGGGATAGTTAACTCCAGTAAGATCCTGGGTTACAAAGGATGAAGTATGTAAGCCAATCAGATTGGCTTATATGTAAACCAATAGGACTGTTGATCCGAAGTTCCCTTTCAAATATTTCCAAGCTAAAGAATTAAATGCAAGTAGCTAGAAATAAGAATTATTTACAAATAATTATTTCTGGTTTTAGTTTTACTCCAAATCGCTAGGTTCATCCCTATCCATGCTGGCAGGTTCTACCTTCTCCCTAATCCGGAAGGGTCTTAACTTCTTTCCCTTGCCAACTGCCTCCAACCAAGGACGATCTCAGAGTTTTGAATCATTCTAGAAGCAAGTCTGAACATAAGAACTTTTCTTCAATACTAAACAGCCTTGGCTCAGGATGATGTTAATGAGTGATAGATGTGCTGATGTTTTCAAGACAATATTGAATCAAATGCCCAAGTCCTGGTTAACTGCCATTAATGGCATATTTCTTCAAACCATCTATTTTCCTTGTGTCTATGCAACAGTATCCACCATTTTTTTCCTCCACATATGGGGACTTGGTTTTTTTGTAGCATTTAATGTAATTGAGAAACAATTGCATACTTCATCATTACCAGTTTAATGGGTGGCTTTCTATATTCTTTGTCTAAAAGAGAGAGAGAGAGAATATATATCCAGGAAATTGTTATAATTTACTGAATCCCCCTTCTTCTACTTCTTCCCCCGTTCTCCTCCTCCTCGTCCTCCTCCTCCTCCTTTTAAAAAAGATACGCCTTGTCTTATCTGGAACATCTTTTACACATCTTACGATTCTTAACAAGCAATGGAATGATGTATGACAAGAGCTCTATTCTTTGACTTAATTAGATTAATGCAGTGACGAAGTCTTTGCAGATGCAAATTAATATATTGATGAAAACAAAGATACTGGGAATGGTATAGAGGAAGATTTTAACTTACATTCCCCAGATACTTAAAGATATATTTCCAAGCAAAATAGTGGGTGTCAAATTCACTTCCATCACACCTTGAATATATGGTGGTCTTCACTGTATGTTGGGGCTCCATATTGGACTGGAGAAATTGAAGGCCTTTTAAAAGCCCTAGAACTTCCCCCATAAAAATCACAGTTGGTCACCCAGCTCTTCCCTTCTCATCACCAGGACTTTTGAGTGCTGATACATTGATTTGCAAGGGTCTGCTCTCCTTGCAGAGAAAAAAGCCATCTTTTGCCTTCTTGGCAACTCAGCGCAAATCCATTTCAGATTATAGCTTTGTAGAAAATGAGATGGCAATGGGCCAGTGACTAATTATATTAAAGGGCTGTGTGCATAAATTATTTATGGGCTGCAATGTTTATCCCAGTATTATTAAAACCAGAGGGTCTCCTTCTACAAATAAGACTTTGGTTCAGATAGATGTGACAGCAACTTTGCAGTGGTAGTGCCAGTGAGCAGTTTGGAAGTTTTAATGTATGGTTAAGCTATACGTTACATTAAGAGGAACGTGTTTTCAGGCTGAGCAGCAGAAAACGCAGGCAGATGTAATTTATGCCTTGTTCAGCTGAGACATAACCGTCAAAGCAATAAAACAGAGTCTAGAACAAATCTGAAAAAGGCTGCTTGCACGAGACCTTGCAATCCTAGAGATTTCTTCACAAAAGACCAGGCTTCAGTACTTATAAGCATCCTCTCTTTTTTGTAGCAACTGTTAAAAATCCAAGAAGAATTAAATAACAAGAAGTTGGAACTTGAGCAAGCAAAAGAAGAGCATTCCCATACACAGGCCGTGCTGAAAATCCTGCAGGAACAGGTTAGTAGCTCATTGGGTACAAGATTTCTCCTCTTGGCTTGGATGTATCTGTATTTGACATCAGTAGAGTACCAACTTCAATCGTTTCTTTGTCCATGAAATCCAGTGGTGCTGTGACTATGTATACATGTAACTGATTTTTTAAAAAGTACAGAGGATAATTAAGAAGGTGGCATCAAGGATGCTGACATCTTACCTTTGGGGCAGCCTGTGATTTATAATCTCATTCCTTGTAACATATCTTTTTGCACATCTAGCAATAATTTCTGAGTGTTTTTCTATCTGAAGCTGAAAGATTATGGTGGAAATGAAATATACCAGAGATGCAAATGTGTTTCAAATAAAGTGTCCATTTCGTAAAAGTGTAGTAATAGAGAAAACAGTTTAACATCTTCCATCTCATTCATGTAAACATGCCAAGGAGTGAATCACGATGACAGCAGAAGAACCCTGGTGTTTCTGCGTGCCTACTCAACAGGATGCAAAATGTTTATACACTTGACAAATGTGCTTGATTTGGTTTCCTTCGATACCATGTGATGCTGAAAAAGCATTGCTTTACAATTAACCTGAAATGGAGAGATATGGAGTGAGGAATAACTCATGGATTCTAAAAATGAAATATTGAACACAATAGCATATTAAATAACCACGAAATCCTTTATCATGGCTAACCATAATGTCCCCAAACACATGCAAGCTCACACTAGGACAGTGCAACAAATTAGGGGCTGTGCAGAGAAATTACTAGGTTCAAAAACTAGACAAGATCTAGTAGTAATGAAGCGTTTGGTTTAGATTCATCTGAGGATTGATCTGGCACAAATATGGCTGCCTAGTTTAGCTGCTGAGAAGATCTAACTGATTACAGTTATGACGCAAACCAAACAGAGCCTCTTGGAAACAAGAAGGAACAGAAATTTTGGGAGAAGAAATGGGAGTCATATTTAAGGGGGGAAAGCCTAAAGAGACAACCTCCCCCCCAAAAGAAATGATGGCAGATCATGCACGGTGGCCACAGAGGGATAAGTGACTCTTTGGGATGAGGTGGAAAGGAATGAACAGGTGAACCTTGGAAAAACACACAACTGAAGTCAAGCTGGTGTCCTTAGACAGAGTTCAGTACTGTTAGGCTCTGTACCACATGGAGCACCATGAAAGTTACACAATCACACTTTGTATGGGTTTTTGTTTTCTTTCCAAGATGCTGAGTTTCAAAAATAGAACAATGATAGCAGTTGACAAATAGGGTTAGGGGTGAAAATAAGGGTGTTGTGTGGTAGAAGTGCTTTGAACACCCAGTTCCTTGAGTCTAAGTCTTTTGGCTTCTCCAGGTGGAAGATATATGTTCAACTGCTCTACCTCTCTTAGAAAATGTCTGCCTTTAGTTGGTGAGGGAAGGAAGAGAGAACATAGAACAGGCAATAGAATCATAGAATCCTAGGGTTGGAAGGGACCTTGGAGGTCTTCTAGTCCAACCCCCTACCTATCTCAGGAACATGGCTAGTGTTCCCAAGGGTTGTTCTGTCTTCCACAAGCCTGCAGGCTGGGGGCCTCTCCTTAGGAAGAGCACTTTAAGCAGCCAAGCTTAAAGTGAAGTGTACACTGAATAGAGAAGCTTGAGTAATGTGTTACTCCATGAGTCCATAAGTAAGTTGTTATTGCTCCAGGACTAAGGGAAGATTAGTTCTATTAAACAGTCAGCAGTAACATTTTAGTTAAGCTATACAGTAATATATATACAGTATGTATGTATATATACTGTGTGTGTGTGTGTGTGTGTGTGTGTGTGACAGGCAAGATGGTAGACACAGCATCACAGTCCAATC